TTTTTTTTTTTTTTTTTTTTTTTTTTTTTGATGTAATCTATTGTAAATAAAAAATTACAATGCATTTGTCGATTATAAGCGGTGTTTTTTGAAAAGGGGAAAAAAAAGTAAAAGAAAGATCTTGTCAACAGCTTAATTTTAGGTAGCTGTAAAATGCATAGATAAGCTGAAAATGGATGAAGCGTCAATGATAAGGGCAAGACGAGAAATTGAGGTGCTAAAAAAGTTGAATCATCCAAATATCGCTACGCTGTATCAAGTAAATAATTTCAGTACATTTATGTTTGATGGATTATCGTAGTTTTCTTGTTATTTTGTTTTAGTTTCTTCCTTTTGTGCTACTGATTTTTACTTCTTTTTTAGCATATAAAACTTTTTTGGCGTAAATTTTATTTTTTTTTTAGACTTTACCTGAACTAATTTAAGTTACCTCTAAGATATGTGTGTATCAGTGTACGTCTTAATGTGTCTTAGTGTGTATCGTTTGTTTGAATGGTCGGATTTTTCTAAATTGTATAACATCAGCAACGGTGTGTGAAATTAAATTACAGTAGGAAATTATTTAAAGTTTTTGTCAGCATTATTGTCATATTCATCACCGTTATTAAACAATCACCAGATTTCTGCTCGGACAGTGAACGACACTGTATTTGTGACCAAAATCGTTTTGCATTAATTTTGTTACATAACTTTGGCAACATTTTGCCAATATTGGAAATCAGTTGATTGTATGATGCTGATGACGACGATGGTGGTGAGGATGATGATGATGGACGACGACAACAAACTTTTATAATTTTGTTTACTTTTCTTTTTGTTCTTTTTCTGGGTAAACTAATTTGTTCGGGTATCTAAGCGTAAAAAACTGTAAAAAAACGGTAGAAGGAAGTTGACCAACCAGTAAACTAACATTAAGGAAATGCCTTTAGACTTTTCTTAGTTGGTCATAATCTGCTTCCGTTTATTCACTCATTCGTAAACCGAGTTTTAATCACATCGTTTGAGATTAAAAGCATTTTGGACGGTCTTGAACTGATGGTCTTTTGAATTCTGACAATCGATTTAGTAACCAAAACTGTAATCTAGTGCTGATTTGAAAATGCTTTTCACGTATATAACGTACAGAATTGTTGGTTGGAATGGTTGGATATGCAATCCTCATGTCTTGCGATTAGGATAGGCTTGATCTTGATATTCATTAAATGATCAATACAAGATCAAAAATCTTTTTGTAAAAAGATATTTAGCACAGAAATACTTTTTTTGTTTCACATTTTTATTGTACGTCGAAAAAAGCAGATTTTATTTTATTTATTTATTTTTTTTTTTTGCCAAACATTTTGCAGAAAGCAATACATTGAAGTTAGACAAACTCTAATCGCTTTCTGTTAATTTCCTCAATCTGCATTATATTCAGTGTTCCAGCTTTATGTTTAAAACTAAGGTGAAACCTTTTTTCCTCTATTCTTTTGTCGTATGAATAGTTCTGCGCTGGAAAAAACAACCAACAGAATCCATTTAGGCTTTTTGCGATGAAGATGCTTTGAATAATGAGCTAAGTTGAGCCGATCTAATAGTCGAAGATCTATTGTCGACTTTGTTGGCAGAAAAAGGCAAGAAATTCAAAAAAAAGAAAAAAAAAGCTTTAGATATGGAGAAGAAAATGCACATTTGATAATATTTGGTAAAAAAGAAAAAAGAGAACAAATTTTTCAAAAGATTTAAAGGATAGCATTTTTTTTTTTGGCGTCATCGCTTTTGTCAAAAACAAAATCTGTCTAATTTATCTGCTTCATTTATTCGCTGCTTTTTTCCTCTCTAACTGAACCTCGTCTTCTCCTTCCCATCTCCTCTTCCGTATTCTTCCTCGTCTATGAATTCCGCGCTTTTATCTTCCTTTTCAACCCAACTCGGTTCGGCTTTTCTTTCATTCTTCTTTATTTGTTTCACAAAAAACAAAAAAAATTTTTCTTATATGCATAGAGTTTTCAGAATTCTATAGATCAAAGTGTTCCACTATGCCACTTCTTCATTTTATCGTCAACTATGAAGAAGCTAGTTTTTATAAATAGAAATTTTTTTTGTAACGTTTATATGCATATTTTTGATCATATTTGATTAGCAGAAAGAAAAATGGAGAAAAATAAAAGGAGGAACTATATTGAGCTTTTTGAAATGTTAAAAAATGCCGTCCAGTTTTGAGTTTTGATGAAAATTTTCCTAATTTGTTGTTTAAATTCTCTGACTTGCTGTTAAAATAAACAAAAAAAAGGGTGAGAGGGAGAGACATAGGTGAAAAAAATTGAAAAAAACTG